GAGCGTGGGGGACCTGTGACCTGCTTCTACTCAGTGACATACGGTGCGGGAGGGCCCCGTGACCGCGCGGCCCACGGACTCCAGTCTGCAGACGCACCATCACTCCCCTTGTCAGCACAGCCCGGCTGTGACCCCTCAGGAGCGGGACTCGCCTAGCCGTCGGCATGCTCTGGCTGGCCACAGAAACAAGCACAGACAAAAAAAACCAACCCAGACAAAAAATCCCACGGAACCAACGAACACACACCAAAACTCCAGAAAGTCAACCCTTTTTCTCCGGAACCTGAAACTGCTCTCGGTCCTACCCCCACAAGGAAATGAATCCGGCCAAAAATCTTACTGCTGGGGGCTGGGGATCCACCTCCCACCTCCCCCCCTCCTCCGGCGTGGCCTCCCCCAGCCCGGCCCCCGATGGGAGCTGCCCGCCCTTCAAGCACAGGGCCCTGGCGCTGTGCCTGGTGTCTTGACCCACACCCTGCGGGTAACCCCAGGCCTTGGGCTAGAGCCTTGAGTCAGACCAAAGGTTGTTCCATGACCGCACTAAGGATGTCTAGGGACAAATCTGTCTCCATTTCCCGGCAGACACGGACGGTTTAGAGAAGTGGGTGGCATTGATTCCTTGCATGGAGACCAGGTTTGATCAATCTGTGTTTCCCTCGCGCTCCTGTTCAGTGTGAGTTGTTCTCGGAAGCAACGTCCGAACCAGGCTTTGCTCGAGAAGAGCAAGCGTGCCCATCTCTGGACTCTGCCTCAAGATTCAGTTAATTACCGAGATCGGTGGTTGGAGGCTGCCTACCTGAGAGACGTCCTGCTCAGTCCTGAAAGCCCAGCTCTAAGCGTGCTGGGTGGTGTGGAACCCTCTCTCGTGGACTGTGGGCTCGGTGGCTCCTTCCTTAACCACCCAGGCTTCCGGGTGTAGTGCAGGTGAGGACCTTCCTTGGGGTGGGTCTCTGTCATGCAGGCTTGCCGCTGAACCTCGGAAACGCACTCTGCACCTTACAGAGACCTGGGCTGGTCACAAGGTCAGCCAGGGGGCAGGTGCGTCTACAAGGACGGAGGGAGCAGGCTCCTTCCCAAGCTCCAGCTAGCTGTTGCTAGAGAGAGTATCTCAGTTTGGGGAGGGCATAGGGAGGTTGAGCAGATGCACCTGCTGCCCTGGTCTTTGGTCTTCCAGAATCTGAGAGGTTGCAGCACCCACCAGCCTTTCTGCTCCTGGGGGCGGGGGGCTGCCGTGTAGATTAATTGTCTTTTGCTTTTGCACCAAAAGCAGCTGCAGCAAAACCCCCAGCCTGTCATCACTGGAAACCGAACCCTTCATTCTGCCTGGATTTTTGGAAATAGGTCTATAATATGACGTGATTTCTTTTCTCCAATTTTTAAAAAAATCTACATTAATAAAAACAAATATAGCAAAATTTCCCTGGAATCACATTTTTGTAAAGAAATCGGTGCCAGTGCTTAGTCTTACATGCTTGCCCCATGGATAGATTAAATCGTATTCTGATTCGCCCTTCACACGGCACAGCACGTGATCTCCCTGGGGCTAACCCAGGCCCCAGGCAGACGCTGTCCTCAGGGCGGCTGGACCGCACTGCGGAGTGCACACCGCCTCGGCCAGAAGTCACTACAAGGTGAACTTTAAATAAAAAAGGACAGAGGTACTTTGTTGTGCAAAAACACATTACACATTTTTTTTTTTTTT